AGGTGAGGGACGGTGAAGTGAGGCCTTTCCTTCCACGCGAAGCTGGGCGTGCACAGCCAGAGGACGCCCAGGGCGCTGCGCCCGCGCCCCCGACCCCTCGCTCCAGCTCCAACCGTCCAGTTCGCCATCCGTTTCTCCAGTGCCCCTCGGGGTCCATTCGAAACGAATGTTCGGTGAAGCGGGCTGGCCTCGCAAGGAGGACTTGCCCCATCTTTTCGGTATTTACATTTTTTGCATTCAGCTCCCATCAGCTAGACGACAGCGACCGAGCGACCACAGAAAGCACGCTTCAGGGAAGTGTTTTTGCCTGGCGCGTGATCACGTAAACTGCCCCGGGCCCACGGGCACAGTTTTAGCAGAAATGGGTGAGAAGGATGCTATAAGCAGACACGTGTTCTCTCGAGACTGCCATTTAATTTGGGGCATCACTGATCAAGAGCTGCAATAATGTGAATCTCTTAAGTTTCTTAATTCTTAGAATATCAGCTTTAGGGCTCGTGGAGACAAAGAGAACCCCGGGGTGTCATCCCTCACGATGCGACGCGTGCGTTTTATATATTTTTTTAATTGCGGAACTCTTAATAGCCCACATGAGTCGGTTCATTAACTCAAACGATCTGCGTCTGCTGCCGTCGCTTTTAGCAGATGTGTTTCTTTTCTATTTACCGTCTTTTTAAACGTACCCAGGAAGTGGGTGAACTCTTCAAAGAACCGAAGCAAATTGAGTTCTTCGTTGATGCAAATGTAGTCAAAGCAATTCAAAACACATTATTTGACTAATAGCATCAAAACACAATCCTATTAAAGATTTCATTAAATGTTAGCGTAAAATTTTCGTTTCATAATTCAAAATGAAAATGCACTGGAGCAGGACTCCTAAAAGCAAAATGATATTCCACGTTATTTTGCAAGTATGCTTGCTAAAATCTGGCAGACTGTGAGTAATAACTTTCTGTTCTGTACAGGATCTGGCTATCAAGCATCAATTTTTTTTTTTTTTTAGCATCAATCTTAAAGACAAGCCTACTAAGAAAAGAAAATATATATCAAGAGTTTTTTTACAATGAGAAAATTCATCTGCTTTAGTTTCTTTGCAAATAAAAATCTGAACTCAAGTTCAAAGAAACCTCTCGCAGTGGAGAATTCTGCAAAAAGTCCCTCCAGAAGGGACTCGAGTGTACCCTGAGTAAAATAAATAGATAAAAATAACCAAGAGATAACAGAGGAATGGAAAATAAGCTGAAAGTCATTGTCGACCACTGGGCTGCGTTTCCAGTGTTTTTTTTTCTTGCGAAGGCATTCACTTACCAAGCAGCCCCCCAGGCCAGGCTAGCCACTGTGACTCTGAAAATCAGCTGTGTCATCAGTGACTTCTTTACCCAGATAGCAGACTGTCATACTCAGAATGGGTAAGAAAACGTACAGGTTTTAAGTCTTAAAGCACCTCTCTCTACCCTGCGTCCAGAATGCAAGAGAGAAAATATACATAAAACAAGCATGAGAATGAAGCGTAGGCACTGCCCGGGGATGTCGCCCGGCCACACTCCACCTGAGATTGACAAGGGAAGTCGTGGCTGTTTGGGCAGAAATTGCCATGACGACGGCGGCAGTAATAACACACTGATAATAATCTAAAGAGCGGCAGCGAATGGCTATGACGTCAGACCCTGTTCTAAGGGGTCTCCATGTCATCCCCACAAGCTCATGAGGCCTGTGCATTTATTGTTTCTCTTCTCGCGAAGGAAGAAACAGGCACAGAGAAAGATATAAACCCTTTTGAGGTCGTAAAGCAAGTAGGTGACAGATCTGAATGTAAACTAAGGCATTCTGCTGTTAAACATGCAGATCCAGAGACAACACAGGCATGGCGTCCTTGAAAGAGTAAAGGTTTGGGAGTTGATGGACCTAAATTACCTGTATGACCTAGAAAGCTGAGGGGTCCTTTCGGTTTCTAAACCAACAAGATAAGATCGCTCCTCCGGGCTTCAGGAGACGGACAGGTTTGCCGAGGACCTAATATGGGCCGGGACAGGGTAGGTGATGATGATTTGCTCCTTTCCAGGGCGTTTAAGGAAAATATTTTAGGACTACCTTGCAGCGAACCCTACGTGCACGTGACAATCAGAAGAAAATCCGGAGAAAATGTATCACAGTGCCGTTAAAGTTATTTTCTTTCAAATACGAAATCCAGTGTTTATTTTCTTGCTTTGGGAGATAAATGAAAAAAAAATCTGATGCCGTAACAGTCATAAACAGTCAACTTCTCAGTAAACTCAGTGCAATCTGAATGTGACATTTGTTCAGCCAGTGAACTAATAAAGACCTGGATTAAAAAAAAGGAAAACGTTTTCACTTTCTGTCAGTGACCTTAATACTCTGATTACTAGACCCAAAAGAAAAAAATTCTGAGGGAAAAACTACGCTAAGATTTAACTGCAGTGAACCAAGAAATGCCTAACCCCCATGCTCCTTAGCGGGCCTTGAGTAGTTAATGGCTTTCCTGCATCTGGGTAGCAAACGCCTGCCAAGGAGCCCTGATCATCTTTGTCACCTTCTGGAGGCTCTTCGTTCCCTGGTATGTCTTGCGGAACCAGAGGCAGGTTTTAAATCTGGTGGTGGTGACCCAGGGTGTAAACCGAGGAAGGACTTTTTGGCAAGAAGGTGATGAAAGTGTGCAGCCGCCCGCCCAGCCCCTTGTGGCTTCTTCCCGTGGGGGCGGGGTGGGTGCCGTTTTCCGGTGAGCGGGTGGCAGGGACATCGATCCAGAGTTTAACGGCTGCCATAAAACCCTGTGTCCTAACAAAGACCCATCCTGGTCAAGCCACGTGACCGGACGACCTAATGACACACTGTCCCTCAGGAAGGAATGCGCTAAGCGGCTGCGGAGCTGCCCTTGGCGGGTGGGGGAGGGGGAGGGGACGCAGAGCTGGGGCTTAACTCGGTTCTTTGCAAGCGTCACCGCCCCTTGGCCCAGAAGCCTGTTCTTAGGTTCTCGGAGAAACATTTACCTTCCGATTACTCAGGGCCTTTCACTTAGGAAAATCGTTAAGGTGATTAAGTCAGAAAATGACAAATGCAAGGTCTGATCGTGGCCAACGATCGATCCCTTTCCTGGCTTGCTTTTCCCGTTCTGCACCCTTTCCCTCTGCTAGCTGCCTCCTCCTGTCTCTAGGGGACCTTGGTGACAGCCCCGCCTTCCCTTCAGAGACTGCTTCGGGGGGACCAGCCAGCACCCTTTTCTCCCCGAGCGAACACGCTGAAGGGCGATGTCAGCCCAGCCTCCCCGCCCTCACTGGGAATTGTCTGAATCGTGATGAAGCCCACGGACTCAGGGGATCTAAGAGATGGAGAAGCAGCCCGGATGCTAACTTAATTCCCGGATCCTGAGTTCAAGGCTGAACTCCTGGGGATAACATTTCCTGGAGCAGGGAAAACCTTTTGCCTCCTCTGCTTCCAGTTGGTTCCCCTCATCTGCAACTGAAGGAATCCGGCTAAAGGGGAGGCACCCCCATTGTGCAGGGGGGAAGAGGGAGCTGGGGAGAGGGAGCTGGGGAGGGGGAGGGTGTGGCTTCCGGAGCCAGGCACGCTGGCATCGCCCGTGGGGATCTGGGCACAGGGAGAGGCCTGGCGCTCGGTTACGGCCCTCGGCCCCGTCCTGTGGCCTTACGACTTCTTGCTGGCAGTGAGGGCGAGGAGGAAATCTGAAAGATCCCTTTTCCACAGAGGAAGTCCACATGGGCTAATCCGGTGATTTGCCTCGGCCGAAAGGGGTTCAGACGACTCGGAAGGTGCTCTAAAGCATCCGCTCCCCCAGACTAGCTGCGTTGTCGTATTTACCCCAAAGCCTTTCCCCACTGGCCACACCATACAGGTGACACACCTGCTTTCCTCCTAGACTCACAGGGCCGGGGCCCCAAAAAGGACACCGGACAGAGCTCACACTCGGGGAGGCCGAGGCACAGACAGCTATCCACACGGCCACCAGGGAGAATCCACGCGAGTGTGCGCTCACTGGCGGGTAACCGATGTGGTACCCCATAGACGGAGGAAGGAGGTGCTAACGACGCACCCCGAAATCATCATGCTGAGTTGCCTACAGCTGGCGGTGGGCGTGGGGAGTGGCTGCTAAAGGTGTGGCTTCTGGGGCGACTGAAAATGGCCTAAAGTTAGTTAAAGACGATAGCTGCGTAAAAACTGCTAAAACGCACCGAGCCGTGTCCTCGAAACAGGTGAACGTCCTCAACGACCCGTTTCGAAAAGCGGGGCCTGCAGAAGGCCACGCCGGGGGCCTCTGACGAGTGCCCCTTCTGAAGGGGGAGATGAAGCAGACCGGTAGCAGCGATGACACCGTCACGCGACTTTCTGCGCCACTGACGACGAGGATTTTTACTTAAAAAGTGAGAACGAGATGGAGGGGACAGGTGCCACCAAGCCAGCGGCCATCGCCGTCCGAGGCGCGTCCGTGTGTCCTCCAGCGACTAACGGGCGTCTCTGTGCCCCACGGACGGCGGAACGCATCGTCCCTCCCCTGGCACCAGCTGCGTCGGGGCCCGGGCGACATCAGGCATCAGGCGACTCTCCCGCTCTGAGACGCGTGACACGTGAAACAGCTCTCCGTGGGAAGCCGCGCCGCACACCTGGCTGCCCCGGCCTGCGGGCCACCTGCCGGGGACAGTGACTCTCATGACTCGGCTGTTTCTTCCTGAAGTGACACCACTCTGTGACTGCTGGGACAAACGGAGGTCTCCATCTACTACGAACCCAAGGGCGTGACGCTGGCCCCTGCGTGTCGCCGCTGCCGCTGGCATGCTGTGGTGCAGACGTCCGAGGCAGGTGGCTTCAGCGGCTGCGGCTGCGGCTGCGGCCCCGGCCCCAGGATATTTTTGCGACAAGGGCACAATCGGAACGAGGCCATCGTCACTCGTGCGTGCGCTGTGACCCAGCCCCTTCGAATCTCCTCCCCCGAAGCCAAATTCTCCCTCGTTTCAAAGCCACTAGCAGGGTCTGAGGCAATTAAAATCTAGTAATGACCGCTCAGAAAAACGGTCCGGTGCGCACAGTGGCCGGACACGTGACACACAGTCACGCGCACACCTGCCGCCGCGGCCCAGACCTTCGTGGTCTCTGTCACCGTGATGCCGTCTCTTCACGAAGCTGTGTCCCACTAACCGAGTCGAATTCAGCTCCCCGTCCCTTAAATCTGACGGCCGAGATTTCTATGCAAACGACCTACGAGGGTCGTGAAACTTAGCGAGATGTGGAAAAGTAAGAACGATTCAGCCGAGGTGTCACCTCGCTGACCATGGGGTTCGGGCCACTGTTTGGCTGACCAGGTTTCCAGGTGTCCGTTCCGGAAGCTTCCGCCATTAGGGAGGAATAGAGAATCTTACTGTACAATTACAAAAATGGTTTCCTCGCTTAATTTAGACGCGTGAATTTAACGCTCCCCCCAAAACATTTTCTCCCTGGAGGGAGAGGGCGAGCCAGACGCTCTGTCCTGCGTGCACGGGAACCCCCCTCACCTGGGCTTTCCCTTCCCACCTGGACAGAAAGCAAAGGTGTTGCGAGGACGTGATCATTGCCTCTCGGTGTGAAATCTGTTCAGACGCGCGACACCAGTGCTCAGCCAGGAGTCCCCCTCCTGTTCGCTCCTCCCGGGGGACCCGTCTCTAGCTCCCTGAAAGCTTGTCGATCACGGACCCCGTGCACGGCACCCCGCGAGGTGGACAAGTCCCCCGACCCCTTCGTTACAAAGTCCCCGCTCCTCTAAGAGGACACCCCAGCAACTCCGCACGCCAGGAAGCGTCAGGCCCGGCCCCGCCACGTCCTCGCCTGCGTCTGCACGAGACGTTTGGGGTGCTCCATGGAGCGTGAGAAGCCCCGAACAGGGGGCGTAAGCAGAATGGCATCACGGGGTGGGGGGGGGGACAGGACAAAAAGGAGTCATAAGGCCTGGGGACCAAGGGCAGGGAGATGTAGCACCAGGGCAAAACAGACCTGACACATACGGACATGTGGAGTGACAGCCCAGCCCAGCGCCATTTACTATTAACGGCCGCTCGTGTGTTCACTAGATTCGTCTCACTCACGGACGGTAGTTTCTAAACTTATAAAGAAATCGCACAGGCCAAATAACAAGGGACCGGGTTAGAAGTGGACACGTGACCCAGTCCCGGCCGACGCGGAGAACTGGAGGGGAGGGGGGCGTCTGAAAAATCGTCACCTCCCGTTGAAAAGAGGTTCACGGGGGAAAATCCCCTTCCCCCGGACGCTGTGCATGCGCACGTCGCGCCTCGAGCAGGACGGTCACCTGGCGACTGAGGACAGCTGAGCCGCATCACGGGGTGCAGGTGGGGAATCGGGCCCAGGACGCGGCGAGGCCGCTGGGCCGGGCGACGCTGGGCCGGCCACCTCCGGGCTTGGCTAAGACGACAACTCACGTTGTCTGGGCGCTGGGAAGTGGGTTTCCTGTCACCTGCAGCCGAAGGCCACCTGACAGCTCACCTGACATCTGCGGCTGAGCGAGTCCCGTCTGCAGACCTCGCCTGGTGAGGCCAGGGGCCCCGGCCATGCCTGTCCAGCACCTGCCACCCCACCCCGGGCACGGCCACAACATCCACGCATGGAGCCAGCCTCCCTCCCTGCTACCTGGGACCCGCGAGGGTGCTCCTCACGCTTCGGGGCCACCGAGGGGCGGCCCTACCGAGCCGTGGATGACAACGTGCATGTACCCCGGACCCTCGGGGTTATGAGCTCCTCGCCGCTCCTCGCCCAGCTCCCTCTGGAAAGGCCGTCGGTTCCCTCCCCACGTGGGGCTCCGGGCTCCCACGGCCACCTGCGGGGGACAGAGTCCTCTGGCCTCTCACTGGCCCCGACCCCGGAGACCCAACTCTACCTGCGGCCTCAGTCCCCGCCTTTCCTGGACGGAGACGACAGGAGGTTATGACCTGAGCTTGGCCCTTGAGGAGGGCCAGTCTGTCCTCTGTCCCTAGACCCATGTGGTATCCCCAGTCTGGCCTCGCTTCCTGCCCAGAACGGGGTCTGCCATGACGATGTCCAGGGGGCGGCTGGGCTTTGGAAGCTCAAGGCCAGCCGGCCACGCGTTCTCTTGCCTGCTGTGGCTACCGACGATGGCTGGGGTGGCGACGTGTCTGGAGTCGGACCTGCTGTCGCTTCCCGTGGCGCACGGCACAGGCGCACGCTCCGCGCCGGGGCCAAGGGCAGGGGCCAGAGTCCAGCAAGGCTCTGCGGGTCCAAGGCCAGCCGGCCCGGACACAGGCTGCCTCTCTGGAAGAGCCCGAGCGACAGGGGCCCTGTCGGGCCAGTGTGGCGTCGGCGGGCCGGCCGCATCGTCTCCTTCAGGTGATCGTCACGGTACAAACTAGGACTCGAGGCCAGAGGTCGTGAACAGCATGGGAAGAAGCCACGTGTGTCTATAAGTAAAGGCCGCAGTTTGTCTCACGTAAGCACGGGAGCCGCCGCTGTGCCTAAAGCTGGAGCTCACTCTGGTTGATTTTTTACAACAGAAATCTGGTTTAATTAAAATTTTACCCCCAAATTTATGTCCGTAATGGATAGAATTACACTTAGTCATAAAACAAATCAAAAAACAAATACATATTAAGTTTTCTCCAGTTCGTACGTTAGTAATTTTTCTAAATGATCTCGCGCATACTCGGTTTTCTTGGCCGGACGATCACGCTAAGAAATCATGACTTTCTTAAAAGGAATTTATATGCAAAACCTAAACTTCTTCTGTCCTCTGTCCAGTGGCACCACCCCCGCCCCGCCCCGCCCGGCTCACTCTGTACTTCGTTCATGCTGAGTCGTGATGTTTTTTCTAAAAAGCTTAGAAAACTTTTTTCTAATGTTCACTTAGACACGTTTCCCTAATGGAAATATGCCCAGAATCCGTCTGAAGAAGCTCTCCAAGGCCGCGGACGCTGCAGTCCCATGGGACTCGCCCGTGACGAACGGCAGCGTGTCTGTGCGCTTGGCGCCATCGGCCACAGCCCGCGGTCGCCCGTTCAGAACACGCGCTGTGACCCTAAAACGCGAAACGGCCGCACACGCGCAGGAACGCAACGAGGGGTGACGGTGACATCGCAAGGCTCCTTCGCCCCCTTTGCGGCGGCCACCCCCGGGACTGAGGAGGACCAGCAGGTGCCCGGGGCCCACGGCCCACGGGGCGGCAAGGTGACACAGGCCCTGGGAAGGTGGCTCGGGGGCTCGGGGGCCTCTCAGAGGCCTAGGGTGGAGTGGGGGGGTGAGACAGCTCCAAGCCCCCCGGAGTCTGGTCAGCTGGGTCCCGGGGGTCAGCCTCAGGTCCCCGAAGCTGAGACACGGGCCGGCGACAGCTCCGTGAGGGGCAAGCTGTGGCGTGACACCAGTCCCCTGTGGTCAGGGCACCGGGGAGTCGACGTGGAGTTGCCTGGGGACAGACATGCTACATAAACGTACAAGTAGGGAACACTCCGAGACAGAATGTTCCGGAACTGACGAGGCCTACAAGTTGCTCGAAGATTCTGAAACCTTTCGTGCCTCTTGTGGGAAACATTCCATGTGCAGCAACCCGCTTCTTCCATATTCTCGGAAAGGCGTTTAGATGGCTGGCCGGAAAAAAAGGAGACGTAATTATTTCTGACAAGCAGGATAGAGTTATAAATACGCCCATTCCGAAGCTCTCGTGAGAACTCTTCATTCATTTCCCATTGGTCTGAAAACCTAATATAAACTAGTCTGGCCGTTAATGGACTTAAACTTTATCAGCTTCCAGTGGGATGAAGTCTCCCGCGCTGCGGCACAAGCAAACCGCTCAAGTTCACGAGAATCCACACTTCCCTGAGCCCACACCACCTTATTCTAAAAAGTCGGCAGATGGAGACTTTAAATCTCAAATGCTCAGATGAAAAATGAATGTAAAGATCATCATCCCGAATTCTCGGGAAAAAAACGAATGTAAAGATCATCATTTTAAATTTAATAGTTTTTTTGTTTTTTTTTTTTTGGTCTTGATAATCGAACGCATTTCTTAAAACGGCTTTTCTCAGTTTTCAAAAAACTAAATTGTTTCTGTCCTTCCGTTTTTCTCGCGGAGTCTTCGTAGAAAAGAAGCCTCCAGCAAACGCCGTGCTATCTCAGATATACGCAGGGGGAAGAATTAAAACAGCAAACGTCAAAAATGAAAATAAAAAAAAAAAAACTCGAGGAAAATGGACACCCGTTTTCCAGCTTAAATACATGAAGTTAAACAAAGATCCCACGGCTTTAAAACGCCTGCTCCGGCAGCGAACCGCAGGGACCCGGCATGATTTAATGACAACCGAACCAAAGCCAGCATCTGGGGCCAGGCGCTCGGACGTAAAACTTAGTAACACTTAAAACACGTCACCCATCGACTCAGTTTTTCTGTCCAGTTTACTGTCATTATAGTAAAATGACAGGAAAGCCCACAGTGGAGGGAGCCAAGTCCCCTGATTACCTGAAATCTCTGTTGCCGAAACCATTAAGGACATAAACACAAGTTTTTCTGCCTCAGCGAACAGAATATACTGCGTGCCGTCTCGTCTTTATTTGGAGAATCGAGACGTCTCTGTGTTTCAAGGAAGTTCCTAAAGATTAGCAATGCTTTTCTTGAGTCTGTTACATGAAATCACCTTTATTTTTAATCTTCACAGTAATTATTGTTTTAGAGTCAAGCACTGCAAAGAAAAACCCCCATAATCTTAACCACCAAAACAAACAAACAAACAAACAAAAACCTTGATGTTTTAAAACAAAAATGTGAGTAGCGTGTTTAGAAAATGCAAACTGCAGAAAAGTCCTAAGCGGAAAGGTAAGGTCTCCCGCATCACCTGTATCCTCGTGCTTCTCCCTAAAACTTCCACTGTAAGTAGACGCACTGGCGATTACGTCCGCACACATTTATCTACGCAGAAGTTACTCTCAAACGGACAGAAGAGGCGCATCCTGGACTCTACCCGGCACCTTGCTTTTCTTCTCATGATAACTCTGGGTAAATGTTCACGCCACTTAGCGATTGTTCATGTTCTAACTCATTCTTCCTAACGGCAGTGGGTAATATTCCATCTAAGCTCTTCGCCTGCAGTGCCCCCCCTGCAGTGCCCCGCCACTGTGATGCCACGCCCCATATCCGTCCACTCCCCATTCATCCATCATCCATCCATCCATCCATCAATGCATCCATCCATCCATCCACCCATCCATCAATGCATCCATCCATCCAACATCCATCCATCATCCATCCATCATCTATCCATCCAACATCCATCCATCATCCATCCATCATCCATCCATCCATCATCCATCCACTCAGCCATCAATGCATCCAAGCATCCAACATCCATCCATCCACCCATCTATCCATCATCCATCCATTCATCCATCCATGCATCCATCCCTCCATCTATACATTCATCCATCCATCCAGCCAGCCACCCACCCACCCATTCACCCATCCATCTGTTCATCCATCCATCCATCCATCCATCCATCCATCCACCCACCCACCCACCCATCCATCTGTCCATCCATTTGGCCAACAGAGCACCCACGGTGTGCCAGCCTGCAGTCTAGGTTCGGGAGATACAGCAGTGACTGAAACAGACAACCCACACGTGGCTTCACGAAGCTGACGTCCGGCGAGGAAAGACGGAAGAGAGTAAAAGCGTAGTGAAGTGTCTTACGCAGCGTATCGGGAGGTGATGATAAGTCACGTCGGTTTTGACAGGTTGTATTTTTCTGAGCGTTCCTCGTTCTATCCAAATTTTCAGATGAGTCGTCACCAATTTGTCGATAATATCCTCTCGTGATCTTGCTAATGTCTGTAGGATCTTAAGTGATGTCTTTTCTCATTTCTGATATTAGTCGTTTATGCCTTCAGCTTGCTTTCTTCATCTGTCTTTCCGTGATGTCTCAATTTTCTGAGTTAGCAACAGACCCTCTTTTGTGTTTAGTCAACCTTTTCATTGTATGTTGACATTTCATTTCATTACTCTCTGTTCTTTGTTATTTCTTCCTTCTCTTCTCTGGAGATTTAATTTGCGGCTCTTTTCCTAACTTCTTGAGAAAGATACTTGGGTCATTAATTCGCATCTCTGCTTCTTCTCTAAACACGCTTTCGAGGCTAGAAATTCCCTCCAAACACAGTGTTTACCTGTATCTCACTAGTTTTGCTGCGATCGTCCAGTTTAATATCGACTACAATTCCTTCTTCGATCCGTGGCTCATTTAGAAGCGTGGCGCTTCATTTCCAAACGCAGGCGGCCTTCCTAGCTATCTCTCCGTTGAGTCATGCCAGCTCAATTATCATGTCGTCAGAGACCTACTTCCTCTGTTTCAATCCGCTGATGTTTGTCGAAGCTGGTGTTATGGCCCCCCGCATTCACAAACCACGTGCTACTCACTCTTTCATTGGAGCATCGCTGTACGCCCGTCCCCAGACACAGCAGCGTACTCCCGTTTATTCAAGAGCTGTGACGTCTTTTTGTCTCTTCATCTCTGTGCCTCTCCGTCCTTTGAGTTCATCCACTGAAGAGCCTCGGGCACGTCATTTCCCTGTGGCTCCCTGTATGGGGTCACTGATGATCTACCTCGGGTGCCGTTCAAAACGTTCGTCCCCCTCCGATACAGGCGGCCGGATCTAGAGGCCTGAGCAGAGTCGGGTCCCTTCTGTCTGGGAAGATGGTCATCGTGCTGTGTCCTCTCGGGAGTGGGCCTGTCGGGTCTGGCTGTCAACGGCTAGATTCGTTAACACGCCGCAGGTTGCAAAGCGCTGATATCCTAATGATTTCTTCCTCATCCAGCAGCCTGAATTCTTGCGTAGAGAGACGGCGTTGCTTGTCTACTGGGCTGATTCCTCCCTGTGTTTATCGGTCTTCAGGAGAGAAGGCTTCTAGCACGTTCCAGACGTAGCGATTCGTGTTCTGTAAAGTTCGCTATGGACGCCTCGATCGAAGCACATTTAATGTGTTTGGCTCTACTGTCTTTTTGAAGCACCTGTTGTCCCCGTTGGGGCCGGGAAAGCTCACCGTTTGTCCGTGTTAATGTTCCTTAGTCATTCTCGTTTCCCGAAACCTGTCCTCTCGTGAATTCATCTAGTAAGTTTTGATTGTACGCTGGAAATTGTGAACGAGGCGCTGCCGACGCTCTGGAATTCGGTTTCTTCCTTCGGACGGTGCTGACTTGTTCCGGCAGACAGCTGATCGATTAGTGAATCGGCTCGACTCTCCTGAACTCGTTTCTAAGCTTTATTATGGGTCTAGGGCAGGGCTTGGTAAACTTTTCCTCTTTAGTAACTATTTTAGGCTTTGTGGTCACATAAGGCCTCT